CGGTTCGGAGAGCGCTTAGTGTAATTAAAGTCAACGTAGTGTTACGGGGATGTAGATCTGATAAAAATTTCGATGGCTTTTTAGCTAAATCCAAAATTCTGATTCAATAAGATTAACCTTTTTCGCTCCTCCTTGGTTAATCCGTCATAGTTTGAATTGTTTGAAGAGTTGGATCCCCGTTGAAAGTGATTCAGGAGAGATGATTTGAGACGACTGTACATTCTGAAAAGCAAACATATTTATATTTTTCAAATTAGGAATTGAAATATGTACGAATATCAACCTCACTTTTTGAATGTAGCCATCATTTCAGTCATTTTTAGATTGGAGTGAAAAACTGGACAAAAGAAAGATGATTACTGTAAAACATGTTTTATATGCGGACCCCGCGAAAACATGTTTCGACTACGTGTCTGGTGGCTCAAAACAGTTTTATGGAGTATCGCGGAAACTCAAGATACTAAAACCTAGAAAAAGAAAACACAACAAAAATGCTGAATCAACTGAAACCATCTACATAATCCTCGGCAATTTTCCCTTCCATCAAGTTCACTATTTTCCTTTTTCTGTTGTTTTTTGACTGCGTTTGTCTCGACACAACGACGACACATGCCAATTTGTGTTTTTGTATATCAACTAGTTATAAATCATTCGCTTTTCGAATTCAAATTCCATAATTTTTAAACTTGTTGGTCATGAATTCACACAAAAAAGACAAGAGAGAATGACCTCGAGATTCAGATGTAAACATTCAGAAAGCTAAGACATTTATGTTTTGTTTCGGGACTTCTTTTGTCTTTTTGATGTTCAAATTTTGAATTTTCAAGAAGAATAGAAGAAAGGTGTGATAGGAAAACATTTTGAAAATTGTGATTTTCGACAATAAAAAAGGGGAGACAGGAGATTTTCGGAGTTACTGTACCGGACTATGAGGTATATCATTTTCAGGAGTCTGGAGCTCGCCTGTCAAGTATAGGATCAGTTCGAGCATTTCGGAGGTTATAAAACAGACCTAGATAAAGAACCTTGCGGTTATATCCGTTTTTGAAAATTCCTAGTTTTTCAGTTATTTGTCGATTTCTCAAGGACACCTGTTTCTGGACTAAAAAAGTGAGAAAAGCAGGTGTTTTTCGGCAAATAACTGAAAAACTAGGAATTAAAAAAAAAAGTATAACTGCAAAGTTATTCATCTAGGTCCGTTTTATAATTTTCAAGTTTTTCAAAGTGATCCTATACTTGACAACCGAGCTCCAGACTCCTGAAAAT